ATCAGAGTGGTCGTGTTGGATGATATGAGGTCATTGGACCTAGAATAAATACTATCGGAATTGGTTACAACATGGTTGGAAGGATAATATCGGAAGTCGACTTAGAAATCCGCTATAGTTCCTGTCGGAGAAGAGGGAGCTCCATGACTTGTTGATCTGACGAATAGTTATGAGTTTCTGCGCGTTTCTTTCATCATTGGCAGTATATGAAAGTTTTAGAACGAAGCTTTGCTTGTTAAGAGGTGTATTGCCGGTATTGGATTGTTTTGAGCAGCTACTGTGATTAGGAGTTATCGCCATGAGTGTTTGAGTTATGTGGTATATCATGTGATTACACCTTGGGTTACGGATATGGTTTGATACAACTTGTTCGGACTTATATAGTGTGTAGATGCGAGGTTCTCATCTTATAGAAAATTCCGGATGTTAGAAATTGGGCCCTAAGACTTATGGACTAGGTTGGATTAAGAAATTTCAGTCATGTTGCGTTGTCAGACCTATATGGGATAGGGTGACGTGGGATCATCCCCGGGTATGTGCATAGTGAGATTATACAGCAAGTTGATGGCTTTTGGAACAACTCTGGGCACGTTCGAGGACGAACGTATGTTTAAGTGGGGGAGGTGTAACGACCCGACCGGTCATTCGAGCAATTGCACTTCGCTCGATTGTTTTAGGGCATGAGTAGCTCCGTAGAAAGTATTATGACTTATGTGAATCGTCGGTTTTGGTTTTCAGGTGGAACAGAACAAATATGGAAGAATGACTCTCAACTTGAAGCTTTAAAATTTGAGAGGTTTGACCAAGTCTTTGACTTTTAGAACTCGATCTCGGATTTGAATTTATATGATTGGATTAGCTCCTTTGGGTGATTTTGGACTTAGGAGCATGTTCGGAATGTATTTTGGAGGTCCGTGGTAAATTTAGGCTTGAAATGGCTAAAGACGAAAATTTAAGTTTGGAAGTTTGACCGAGGGGTTGACTTTTTGATATCGGGATCAAAATATGATTCCGGAAATTTGAATAGCTCCATTATGTCATTTACGACTTGTGTGCAAAATTTGGGGTCAATCGGACTTGATTTGATAGATTTCGGCGTTGTTTGTGGAATTTGAAAGTTTCTAAGTTCATAAGCTTGAATCCGAAGTTGATTTGGTGTTTTGGTATTTTTTTGAGTGATTCGAAGGCTCGACTAAGTTTTAATGATGTTATGAGAGGTGTTGGTATGTTTGGGTTGAGGTCCCGAGGGCCTCAGGTGTGTTTCGGGTGAGTTTTGAGCGAGTCCGTGCATTACCGGAACTCAGGCAATGGTTCTGGTACTTAAATTTACTGCTGGGGCGGAAGTTTTACCTCTGGGGGCGGTGGTTTTACCGCTGGGGCGGAAAAAGGAGCGCTGGGGCGGTCCAGGAGGAGAATCCGCAGGTTCGTTGGTCCGACTTCGGAAGCCTATATCTTTTGATCTACAAGGAATTTTGAGATGATTCAAAAGAAAAAGTTGTAGCCCTTCGTGTCTAGTTCCCAGAAAGGTAAAAAAATCATAATTTGGGCATCTGTAAAGAAAGTTATGGCCAAAATACTAAGGCCTGTCTGTGCAGCCACCAAAAGCGCGACAATGGTGGTTTTACTGCGGTCAGCGGTAATGGGAATCCGAGAGGTGCACTATAAATACGAGATTTGGGGTTTTATTTCATATTTTGACCTAGAGAGCTCGGGCTTTGGAGACTTTTCGAGGGATTTTCAAGAAAACCATTGGGGTAAGTGATTCTAACTCAATTTTGGCTAAAATACATGATTCTAACGTTGGATTTATCATTTGAGTAGAAATTTGGGATGAAAATTTGGAAAAAAAAAATTGTGGAACTTCATAAAATGAATTTTTGGGATTTGAAAGCCGATTCGGAGTTAGAATTGAGTGAAACTAGTATGGGTAGTCTCGTAATTGAATGGGTTGTCGGATTTTGAGACTTTGGTCAGGTTTCGGACGTGGGCCGGGGGTCGGGTTTGACCAATTTCGAGATTTTTGGTGTAAATTGGTTATTTTTGAGTGGGCTTTATTCCCTTAGCATATTTTGATGGTATGGTACTGTCTTTGGTTAGATTTGGAGCATCCGGAGCTCGAGTCGAGAGGCAAAGGCATCGCGGGCTAGAGTTTGGACCGGATTGAGGTAAGTAATGATTGTAAATGTTCCCCTGAGGGTATGAAACCCGGATTTCTCATCGTTGTGCTACTTTGAGGTGACGCACACGTTAGATGACGAGCATGGGATCGTGCGCCGTTAGGGATTGTGACTTGGTCCGTCCCATATGACTATTAAATCGCGTATTTGATTGAAAACTGTTTGATATCATTGTGTTTTGGAAAATATTATCATGTTTTGGGCTGAATGCCATATTTGGGCCTCGTGCCAACTGTTTTCGACCCTTAGGGGATTTTTACTATTGTTCCTCACTGTTTTGATTTCATATTTGTACTCAGTCATGCTGTATTCTACTATTTTCATAACTCAGCCATATTTACTCCGTTTTTGATATTTTAAATGATATTTTGGGCTGAGCATCATGTTATACTGTTGCCCGAGTGGCTTGAGAGATTTCTGACTGAGTGAGGCCGAGGGCCTGATTTGTTACGCCACGAGGTGGCTTGTTATGAGGCCGAGGGCCTGTTTAATTATGCCACGAGATGACTTGTTGTAGCGCTTGGGCTGTAGGAGCCCCTCCAAGAGTCTGTATACCCCCAATGAGCGCGGGTACCCAGTGTGAGTGATGTGATGTAGCCCGAGGGGCTGTTGTTGTTTCATGTTGTTGCCCGGGGGGCTGTTCTTGATTCATGTTATGCTCGAGGGGCAGAGTACGAGTGATTGTGAGGTATCCCGAGGGGCTGGTTCTGATGATATTATGCCCGAGGGGCGGTTTATGATACATGTTTTGCCTGAGGGGTTGTTTATGTTTCTATCATTTTTACTCACTGTTTTTATCACTCGTTTAAAACTATTGGAAGATGTTTTTTTTTAAAAAAAAGAAAGGGTTTTTACTGAAACTTAGTTTGATTTACGAAATAAATGATTTTTGTACTGTTTTGGAAATGTACTGTATTTGCTGTAGCGTTATGACGTGGCTTACGTGTTTTCTTACTGCTCAGCTTTCATTTACGTTTATTACTTACTGAGTTGGCGTACTCACGTTACTCCCTGCACCTTGTGTGCAGATTCAGGCATTTCTGAACCTGGTAGTGGGTGTTGATTGCTCAGTGGCAGAGTCATCGGAGTTAGCAAGGTAGCTACCCGGCGTTCACAGCTCTGCTCTGTCCTCTTATCTTCCTTAGCCTGTTATAGTTTATTTTCAGACTCTTCGTTGTGTTCAGACCTTAGTAGATGCTCGTGACTTGTGACACCCCGATGTCCGGCTTGTGTATTTATTCCGCACTGTTCATTTAGACTTACATTATGAGATTATTGATTAATTAATGGCTTAAAAATGACTTTTAATGAATACTGGTTGAATTCGAGAATTGTGTCGGCTGGCCTAGTTTCACGATAGGCGCCATCACGACCGAGTCGGTTTTAGGGTCGTGACAATATCGACTCTATTTAGGTGGCTAGCCATTTGAACTGGTATAACTATTAGTAATTATAGTTATAAAATATAGGGAAAAAAAAAACTAATAAGATCCTTAATTGATATGAGTTAGAACACCTTGCAATACTGAAATTTAGATATCGTATATATTTACAAAGCAAAAGACTTAGAGTCTAAGAACTTAAATATCCTTAACTATTGAAGGAGTGTTACCTAATATTACCGACTTTAATAAGAGTTAGTTCTCACTTATTCTTTGTGGACTTTGCCATTTAATTTTAGATTATTCTACTTTTTGCAAAAGAAATTATATTACATAATACAAATAAGAAAATTCTTACACAAGGTATTTAATATGAGAATCATTTATATATTCAGATAATGAAGAATTTAATGCATACAATTTAGTTGATTTAAACTTCTAAATATTGGAAAAAAGCTTAAGCACAAGAAATCATATTCCAAAGAAAATAGAATAAGTAGATCTAAGTTGTAATCCCCTGTTTTGTGAAATAAAGTATTGGAAAGAAATACTAATAGTTTAAAAGATCTAAAAATTTAAAGCACTATTTTTTTTAACCAAAGGATCATAAAAATCTTTTGACTAAAGTGACAGACCATAGTTTACCTTGTCCTAACTCTTATGTATAGGTTCATGATAATTGAATCACTAAACAAATTAGTTGCGATACCTAATTATAGAACACAATCGTTCTAACTCTAAAAAAATAAAATAAGAACAAATACACAAATAGCAATATTCTCAAAATTTAAAATTATGTGTAAATTAAAGCTCATTAATTTAAAAGATAAATGATTTATAGAAAGCAAAGCGTATTTGAACTTAAAGTCCTAAATATTAGGACTTCTTATATAGTTCAAATTAGGGAATATTTATTAAATAAAGTTATGATTTATTTTAAATTCCTAAATATTAGTGAAATGACTGCTTTGTCTGATGTGAATTATATTTTTAAAGGTAAAAAAGGGGAACGATGGGCCTTTGTGATTTAATATAGTGTAAAAAATTTAGAGAGATATTACATTTTTCCTACTCTTTTTCAAATATGTATTTTGATATCTTTATAGAATTTGTAGTTTTTATCAAACTTATTTGTAATTATGCACGTAATATTCTAAATATCCTCCTTTTAACTTGGTTCAAAAAGTAGAAAAAAAGAAGAAGCATGAAACCTTATATTCCAAAGCCCCAAAAAATGCACGACCATAATAAACTATATATTATCGAATATTAAATTCGTTAACCCTCAATTCATCCTATTTTCTAACAATAAAAATAAAATAAAAATAAAGAAATCTCAGAATCAGAATTTCTTTGGTCCCTCCCGTCGCCCACTACGCGTCCACACCCACCCCCACCCATGCCCCCCTCGTCTTTCTCTTTCTCGGTCAATTTATTATAAAAATATAAAGTCGTACAAAAAACGCTAATGTACGACATGGATTTCTCATGAAGCAGAAGTTGGTGGCCTGTTCTACACAATAAACAACACTAAATCGTTTCAAAAAATGTAAGTTTAATCTTTTGATTTCCTACTAATATAATTCATCCTTTCTGTTTTAGCGGTTCAGTTTCTGCCAGCCAATTATTCACAATATTCTTTGTTTATCGCATCACACTTTGCGTTTTCAGGTTTACTTTTCTCATTTCTTCCTTTTTCTGTATCTTTTGTCTTCTTCTGTTTCGTCCTTTCTGATTGTGCTTAATTATTATAAACTACTTGCTTGTAGATTTTGATCAGTATTCGAAAAACGAAAAAAAAAACTATGTCGTCGAACATAATTCACGACGCCGATGGATCGCCTTCGCGAATCGTATTGTCGGAGCCTACTGGATCAACTGCTGAGGTTTTCTAAATTCTGTTTTCCTTTTTCGTAATATTTTTGCGGGATAATTGTGATTAATTTTGCTTTATATTTAACTAATGAAGGACTTTAAATGTTTTCTCCTATAATTCCGACTATTTCTGCTGTATAATTGTGATTAAGTTCCCTTTTTTTGGGTTTTTTGTACATGCTTGTTTTAGTTCCTGAGGTGCACCCATTTTTACATTTTTAAAGTATAATGAATGCTAGAAACTTTCCTTTAGTTTGATCATTCCTTGGTTATCTGTTGGTAAATGAAGTGGAAGGAGAATCATAAGGTCTCAGAATCCCAACAGAGTCAAGAAGTACTAGGTGATTTATTCCAATCTACCTAAACTTTGATTAGTAGAGTTAGTTACCCAGTACTTGTGCTCGCGGGAGTAGCTGGTAGCCGGTGGAATAGTCGAGCTGGCCTGAACACCACCTTAATCAAAAAATTATTGATCATACTTGTGGATTATATTAGGTTTAATATCTCGAGATTTACTTTAGTTGAAGCCTGTTGGTGAAAGTGTTTCGGTTTCTCCATAAATCAGTAATCCTAAATCTCATCTCCATCTAAGTGAATTATGTATTTCAACTTAGCATTTGTAGTTCGTTAATTAATTTGTTTTTGGTATTTGGAATGCTTGCCTTTCAAAAGTAAAATATCAGCTCATTGATGAATCATGGCTTTATTATTCCTATCTCGAACGTTTTCCAGAAGTTCTCGAAACCACATAGTTTGGATAGGGAGCAACCTGTCGATTGAGAATATTAAATGAAACAATTAATATAAGAGATGGACTCTTTTTGTTGAAGCTAGTCTGTATAAGCGCAGTGTGTTGCTCATGAGAAGTTGAAATAGTTAATGGAAGATAACAAATCAGAAAGGAATTTTTTTCCGCAGCTTTTCTTTTCCTTTTTTCCTATTTAGTTCATTTTTATCTCAACGACTGTTTCGGCCTCTAAACTTTCAATTCCTGTTGATCTTTTTTCGTCGTCATGCTAATGGTTTAGTCTTTCTTATATATGGTCTAGCCTTGAAGTTTAGTCTTTAGAGAGTAGCTGTTTTGTAGTCAAACTATGTAGCTCAATGCTTTTGGGAAAACAAACGAGATGGTGATATCCTAGGCTTTCCATTGTACCAATGGAAAGCTCTGCGCTGTCCATTTAACTTAGAGATGATGTGCTGTCTTTTTAAATTGGTAAACAGAGGATCCTGTATTAACCCCTGAAGGGAAAGATCCAAATGCATGAAGTAAATGTTGTAGCACTACAATGATGATGAGCTTTATGGGTTGGAGATATCTTTTCCTTCATTTCACTTAATTCTAGTACATATTCTCTGCTGCAGGTGCTTTTACATGGTGGACAGGTTGTTTCTTGGAAGAATGAGCGAAGAGAAGAACTGCTTTTCAGGATTAATAAGGTCTAAAATGACCTTCCTTTATATACTTTTAGTAATCGACTCTGTTTTCTGCTACTGTTTGGATAGCAATATGTTGCATGACATGCATGCAGGCACAAAGCCAGTGGCGGATTTAGGGGGGCGCAAGGGTTTTCACCCGAACCCCCTTCGCCAAAAAATTACACTGTGTATATAAGGCAAAATGTGAATTTACCTCTATATATTATGTTTTGAATCCCCTTAACACGGTCCAAAAGCATGGCTTAGTGGTCAAGGGGGTTCAAAACCATTATGAGGTCATTGGTTCAATTCCCACTAGCTACAATCTCATTAAATTTTTTAACTTAATCCTTTTTTGAACCCCCTTAGCAAAAGCCCTCCCTCCGCCACTGCACAAAGCTTTTGCGACTTAATGTTATCAACTTTTAACGTGTCAATGCAACGGTTCCATTCATAATCCTGTTCATCCTGCATCTTTGTGAACATGAAGTGGCTATTTGTCTCATCTGGAAGTTCACAGTTTTGGACATTTACATAAAAAAAAAAGGATTTGCATCTTCAGCTGGATCCTCTTCAGTCTTGACTCGATATTTGACGATATGGGGCACCAAATTTGAATTAAGATCAATTTATGAATCAAAAAATTTAAAACCCCCAAAGGTTTGGAATTAGGATCACAATATAAATTGGAGTTTAAAAAACAAAGTTGAAAAGTGCTTTCTCCTTCGAGAAATCTCTGAAAAGGCACAAGATGACGCCATTGTTCTTTTCCAGCCTTAGCATCTCATAGGTGCTTACATTTAGTAAAAGATTGAATTGCTTTTGTTACTTGTGTCTTCACTTGGTCTACCATACTTCTGGAACCAACTAATTACACTGGCCTCTCCAGCATTGTTCAGTACGATGACCAATATTTGATTAGTTCCTATATCATGAGATTCACTTTTACACATATCAAGTAGGACTCACATCTAACGGGCTACAAGTGTTATGAGAGGGCTTTTCCTTTATGCAATTTTGCGACACCTTCCACTAGGATTCGCAGGTTAGAAGGGCTGATCAGTGTTTTATCTATGATGTGCATCACTGAGCAGGTGGCCAACGTCTGAAGATAAAATATGTATAGCTCCTGTGTAAACTTTACCTTCTCAAAAAAAAAATTGTCTAGCTCTTCTCTACAGTCCATAAAATTTTATCCTCTTATGAGTCGTTGCGGGTAGTAATGCTATTCAATTGCCTAGATAATTCAAATCTCTCAAGGAATGTCGAGTTTAATTCAAAATCAGCAAAGCATGGAACGTTGAGTATAGTTCATTTTGCTCGTGTAACATAAATGTGATTGTGGTGTAAGGAAACTTCTTCAGGTTTCAAATATGTAAAATTTCCTAGATACCTCACATAACTTGATCTGCTTGTATGGTTGATGATAACTTGATCTGCTTGTATGGTTGATGATACAGCTCACACTCAGGATATTGACTTTAGGATATTGTTCAATCATCTACATTGCCTGCTAGATACATCTGTAGCACTTTTGTCTTATTATTGTCCTGACTATGGGTTCTTGCACTGTCTTACAGACCCTGTGGAAACCTCCTAAAGCCATCAGAGGCGGAATACCTATCAGCTTTCCACAGGTTGGCCCACTAACTGAACTAGCATTTTTAGGGTTCTTCCTTGTTTAGCTTTGCATCTTAACTATGAATGTGTACTGTAGTTTGGAAGTTTTGGTTCTTTAGAGCGACATGGTTTTGCAAGAAACAGAGTGTGGTCCTTGGATGATTCTCCTTCTCCTCTACCTGCAGCAAACAGTCAGTCAACTGTGGATCTCATCTTGAAATCCACAGAGGAGGATCTGAAAACTTGGCCACATAGGTGGGGAGTATACATGGTTTTGCACTTCTATTAGCCTATAGTAATACACACATTCCCAATTCAACAATTTTATCAAGATCTACAAAGGTAAAACCCTGTTCTTGTTTGGCAGGTTTGAGGTGCGGCTACGTGTCTCTCTCACTGCTGGCAAGCTGACTTTGATCCCTCGTGTGAGAAATATAGATAACAAGCCATTCTCATTCACGATCTCTCTGCGTAACTATTTATCTGTTTCTGATATCAGGTTTGCCTTGATGGTTCGCTAGTTTTTTTTCTTTTGAGATGTGGTTTGCTAGTTATTTTTCCGCGAAGTAGTGCTAACACGTTGGAATTTGTAATAGCTATTATTGTCCCCCTTTTACGGTTTCTTGCAATTAATTCAGACCTATAATTTATTGTATCTTGCTCATTCAATCATGAGCTTTCTCTTAATTTTTTCTCTTTATAGCTGAAATTTGCTAGATACGTAACTATCCTTTTCAGATAGGTTGCATGATGCAGTTTGATTTGCAGTGAAGTGCGTGTGGAGGGCTTGGAGACGCTTGACTACTTCGATAATTTGCAGCTGAGAGAAAGATACACAGAGCAGGCAGATGCAATTACCTTTGATAGTGAGGTAACATTACTATGTTAGGCTGTTCTCCGTATTTAACAGAGGATAGACACCTCATTTGAACTCAGGACCACTAGGTGCCAGAGGATCTTCCCTTCCATCAATTCAGTATGCTTGTTTTTTGGATTTTTTCATAATTCATTGAAAAGAGGAGTACTTGATTTCTCCTTATTATTATGTTGATCTAGACCTTTTCTTTTTGTTAGATTGACAGGGTATATCTGAGCACACCAAAGAAAATTGCGATAATAGACCATGAGAAGAAGAGAACCTATGTCATTCAGAAAGAAGGCATGCTAGATGCTGGTATATTTTTACCTTTTTTTCTTTTGATCTGGATCTCTTTTGTTCCCAATCTGCATTGAATATTTTGAAGTACAATTTGGATGTGATATGCAGTTGTTTGGAATCCTTGGGACAAAAAAGCCAAGTCTCTCCCTGATTTAGGTGATGAAGATTACAAAAAAATGCTATGCGTGGATTCAGCTGCTGTTGAAACTCCGATTGTCTTAAAGCCCTCTGAGGAGTGGAAGGGGCGGCAAGAGCTCTCTACTGTATCTTCAAGTTACTGCAGTGGGCAATTGGACCCTAGGAAAGTTCTTTATGGCCTTGCCTGATCTCATCCATGGTGTGATTGAGGTGCTATTTCTACGAGTCTATTTTTGTATACTACGCGCGCTGTTTTACTGTTCCACAAACTCCTATTCATGTTTGGTTTGTCAGTTTCTGGAGGGTTAAATCTAACATTACTGGATCTATTCTATAAGCACATATTTTTAGCTGCAGGTGGTTCACTGAGCTTTCTCTGTTTCTTTTTTCAGACTGTGAGATATCTTGTATGTTTTCAGTTTTTCATAGCATAAACTTTCCTGAGCCAAGAAATTTCTTCTTGGCGTTGCAAAAGTTCGATGGATGAATAATTTGAACAACAGAATATAACATCTAAATGTAAATACACAGTGCACGCTTACATAGCGTACGAGTTGAGAGACGTAACATGGGTTTTGTTTGGAGGGGGGGGGGGGGTGTTGAAGCTTGCGTATTAGAACTTACAAAATACTTATGAAAATCAACCGTGTTTTAATCATTCCTTTATTGAGCAATTATTCATCAGTTCAAATAGACCACCTTATTCTTTAACAACCTAGAAATTGCTGGAAAACCACAACTTAGAACATAGAGACCATGGATGCCCCGAACTTCTCCTTGGCTTCTTTGTCAAAGGGATCGTCACCTAAATACATGTAGATGAAGGCCCGGCAGAGTAGTTCACTTTCCACCTTGCTCACAATTTCACCCTTTACTGCATTTAGTGAAAGTTAAGGTTTAATGAAGTTAGCAATTCAACTTGATGGCATGAACTTGACAAGATTGAATTTTGTGGTAGATTTTACCTTTGGTCTGAAGAACATATCCCGGAAGCCTTGAAATCTCAATTACAGAACCAGAAGTCAGCTTTATGTCATCAGATGCTTCACCCATGATCCTAATATTAAAACACGATATTAGAGTTTAAGCATTCAAGTTTTCCTATTCAAAAAAGCATTGTGTGTTAAGGCTGATTAGAAATGATTAGCATTTAAAATGGTTGTATGTACTTCTTTGTGAGCTCTTCGTTCTTCCCACCAGTGAGTTTCTTTATGGCAGCTCCTAGGCCTTCGTCAAAGTTCTTTCTTACCATGTTTATGGTTAGGTTAGAGAAAACAATTACCAACCGCACAATCATCCCAAAATCACTATCAATCACCATTTGGTACATTTCCTTTGTTGGTTTTGATGGTGCTTTCCCAATCTTGGACTGCATAAGGTCCTTTAATTTCTCATTGTCTGCATATATTCCTGCAGTCAAATAATCAGGAGTGGTTAGTTTTGCGGAGGCCAGTTTGTGTTGCTGTCCCCTATTAGAATGAGCTTGATCTAGGTTACAACTTTAATCAAAGTGCAGTATGATCCCTATTTGTATGTTTGTGTAAAGAAGATAGTTTAAATGGAGTATTACCAAAGCCATAAATTTTAAGGCCCATGCCAAGCATGCTCTTCTTCCTTAAACCTACAGCTTTCAACTGCATCCCATCTTCAAGTTTGACAGGAAAAGAGACTCCAGTTTTAGGTTCAACCTCAACTGGAACTTCCTCCTCCTTTACAGTTGCTTCTTTCTCCTGACCACTCTTCTCCTTCTTTTCCTCTTCAGTTTTGGCCTCATTCGTACAATTTGGCTTCTCTTCTGCTGTTTCTGTAATCTTTGCTTCACCTTCGCTCACCTTCCCCTTCTCCATTGTTGGTTTTAAAGCAAGACCACTCTTGGGGTCAATTTCAATTGCCCCAGTCTTTGCTGTGACATCTTCCATGGTGGTCGGCATTTTACACTGATAGTTATAAGCCAAGAGGAAAAGATAGGAATTGTTTTCTGTTTTGCTGTGGTTTGAAGATTGAAGGGCAATGAGGTTTATATAGGAAGAGATTTGCCCGAGGGTTACTGTAACTCATTCATGTCTCATGCAAGTGGGAGTCTCATAATGAGGCATCTTTTCGTCCTTCCTCGGTTTGAGCATTGAGATAATGGGAGGTATATGTTACATATTATCACCCACTATAGATCATTAACTGATTTTTCTTGGTGAAAGAAAACAGTAGTGTGGTTTATTTCCTTGCATTTGTTTGCATATTTTGGCAAAAATTTACGGAACACATTTCAAGGACCTTTATTGTTGGCTATCATAAATGTATGATCTCATTTCAATGTGAATATGTTCTTTTCAAACAATTCCAAGGTGGTGGATAAGTGCTGACGGGAATATGATGAAATCAATGATTAGGAGCCTGTTTGGCCAAGCAATTCCGTTTGTTTTCCTCTTACTCTTTGCTAGCGTTTTGAACATAGATTTGGTTGAAACTTGAAAAAAGAGTTTTTTCAAATTGTGTAAAATAATAATTTTTGAAAGTTGAAATTGTGCTTGAACATGCATTTTATTTTTAAAAAAAGTTAAAGTTTTTTGTGAGCGGAAGAAAAAAATTCTCCCAGAAATTATCCTAAATTAGATTTTGGGAACTTGAATTAATTTTTTTTCAAAAACCGATCATATTCCATGAACAAATAATATTTTTGATTTTCTTTTTTAAATTTTTTTGCCAAAATCTATGGCCAAACGGGAGTTCAGTATTGGGATGAGAAAGTCATCATTATTTTTACGTTGCTGCTTCTACATGTATAATCTTTGCTAAAGTACCATTGTTTGTTACCACTATAGTTATAGCTGTATTTCATGTTTTGTGTTAATAGTAATATTGTGATTGTATATAAGCGATTCAATGCTCAGAAAGGTCTCATCGCGTCCAAGTGCAAAATCGAAACAAATGGTGATGCATCAACTTCTTCCTTTTTGGAAGGTAAAAACACTTTTTCTTCAAAAAAAAAAACTATAGTGTACTACCTTTTTAGAGATTTGAGGTGTTGGCTAAAATGCTCGAGCATTATAAGTAGTTTTTCTTTTATTGGGGAGTAGCTACAAATTCTAACTTATTTTTAAAAATAGAAAAATTAATTTTTTTCAAGATAAAGATATCCTAATTAATAATTTTTATTTAGAAGGCTTTCCATTATTGTATCTCCTTGCATTAGTTTCATATTTTGCGTAAAATTTACACTGTTCGGAACACATTTCAAGGACCTTTAATCTTGGCTTTCATAAATGTATGGCCTTCTTTCGATGTGAAGATGTTCATTTCTAACAAATTTTAACGTGGTGGATAATGTTGACAGAATATAAATATTTAATAAAATCATAAATTTAAGTTAGTATATATATACTGTGGGAAGAAAGCTCACACATTCAGTGTGATTGTCTAGTATTATATTTTAATGAGAGCTGCTATTCGGCCAAACTAAGCGTGGCCCAAAAATGACCACACTGGTGAAATACCACTAAAGCCCTTTATTTCACATTTGGCTTAATGGCCATTTTTCCCTCCAAAATTAGTTAATAAATATTTATTATCCCAAAACATTGGTCCCATAAATCATCATTCTCTCATGGGAAGATCAACCAACTTCATATGTATACCTATACTATTACGTATTTATTTTATTTTTAAATAAAATTTATACGGATAGGAAGATCATAAGCCTTGGGAAGATTATATCGTTGTGATTCTTGGTAATATCGACCGTTTATATAATAGCCGTTTATATTAATTTCATACATATCGGCCTATAACAACCATATAAGTCCATTCACTAATATGGTTGTAATCATATAACCTATGCTAATTATATCGTTGTGATTCTTAGTAATATCGACCGTTTATATAATAGCCATATATTTTAATTTCATATATATTGGCCTATAGCAACCATATAAGTCCATTCACTAATATGGTTGAAGTCATATAACCTATGGTAATTATATCTGTGTGATTCTTAGTAATATCGACACTTATATTAATTTCATACATATTGGCATATAGCAACCATATAAATCCATTCACTAATACGGTTGTAGTCATATAACCTATGCTAATTATATCGTTGTGATTCTTAGTAATATCAACCGTTTAAATAATAACCGTTTATATTAATTCCATATATATATCGGCCTATGGCAACCATATAAGTCCATTCACTAATATGGTTGTAGTCATATAACCTATGTTAAATATATCATTGTGATTCTTAGTAATATCGACTGATTATATAATAGCCGTTTATATTA